ATCAACAATAATCAATGTAGACTTTTTTTTTTTTTATGATAAAACAAACAAAACCAAAACATGAAAAACGACTTCTGTAACAGGATATAGCATCATAATATGGTATGGGTCAATGATGTTGGCAGTCTCTGCCTATTTCTGCCTATTTCTGTTTGCTGCAGGAAAATCCTACTTTTTCATAAAACAGAGTCATTGTCCATGTGGTATAAATTCTCTAATTGGCTGTAAGTGCAAAGACCATAGGTAGTATATAAATCAAGATATAATTATGTATACATCACAAATACTTTTGTGAATCTTGTGAATATGTAAATTTTATGTGCTATTTGAATAATTATGAGCATGTGTGGAGCTTGTCCTGTGCATATGTGAGAAGATGGTGTTTGGGAGACAAGCACAGGTATTTGGACACAGAATACTTCCATTTCAAGGTCAAATGGGGAATTTATTTTTTGCTCTGTCTTATTTTTTCACCTATAGGATTCATTAATGTAGAAAAATGAAATGTGTAATGATTCCTTTTATTCTTGTGGCTGTTCCTTCTTCCTTTCTTGAAGTAACTAACAACAAGCCATCAAGCTACCATGACTTTATTACCGTTGGTAATGATTTTAATATAGCATTCTGCTAAATGCACTAGTGACAGATGGTAGAAGAAAAAAGATAATGTGTTGTGTAAGCAGGCCCAGCTCAGCTGCACCTGCAGACTTTGTGCACCCCCACAAGCACAGAGGAATTGTGTCTTTTTTTTTTTTTACAGACTACATGGTGGCTCTCTGATTAGATATAGCCTTTAGTTTTTATTTCTAACTTTACATGTCTTAAAAACTTTAGAGTCTCTCTTTTTTTTCAACAAATCAAGCTAAGCTTAGTCCCCCTTTGAAATCATTTATGTTTTGCTCCTATACAACCACATCCTTTGTTGTGTTTCATCTGGATTTTATTTGGCATAGCATAATCTTTAAATGTGTAAACAAATATATAGGGTTTCTGTATTTTCTTACCAAATAAAAACATGCAATGCCCTTTCTTTTCCTGCAGTTGCAGCAACAAATCATTTAGGTCATCATGTCACCACCAGCTTTGCACATCTATTAAAATTTCTATTCCCTCTTGTTTGGAAAGTAAAGTTGAGTCAGACTGGAAGGAGATCTGACAACAGCAATTGTCTTGCACAAAGATTCTTAAGTTTCTGCCTTTTGTTCATTGATTTTAGTTCTGACTCATTACGACCTTGTCTGCTCTTACAGAAAATGACTCAGATGAATTCTAATCATTTTATTATTAAGTAGTTTTATTCTTTTTTCACGAATAGAACCTGAAATGTCAAGATTAATGACTCAATTTTAGAATCCAAATGAATCAGGGTTATGAAAGCTCACCGGTTCTGTTCACCCTTTACACAAACAACTGCACCAGTAGTCTTCCAGGCAACCACACTTATTTTTGAAAGCAATCTTACTCTCAGCCTTCAGGATGAAAACTATTATAAGTCTTAATCACATTTTAGTTATTACGATGTGTGATAGTTTAAGTCGAATTTAGTTGATGAAAAAAAGAA